CTTTCCCCGTGCCCGGTTCCCGCGAGGAGTTTAACCTTTTTACGAGACGTAAACAGCGTTACAAGAAACAAAATATGTTTACCAGCTTTATTAAAACAACGCAACCGACGGTACGGGCAACGCTACGCGCCACTCGGCTGCCCCACTTGGCATGGGTTGGGCACGGCGGTTGTAAATTCGCGGATTCAACAGTGAACCCGTATTCTTAAGTAATTCATGACCCGGCGCGCTGCTTACGCGAATGCTTTTATTTCTCGCCCCTTGATGCATTCTCTCGCCATTGGGCCTCGAATGCCCGTTTGCGGTTGTTTTCCTTTCCACAATGTTCACGGTCGAACTATATATAAAGGCTTTAATAAGAGCTGTATAAGTCCAGGATTTGTAAGGATCACTTTAGATATGAATTTATACTGGAAATGAAATTTACGAAATTATGAGTTTACTTAATTTTTCGGGATCTAATTAATTCGTTCCTTGCCTCTGTGGAATATTTTTGCGCCACTTACGTTGCCTTGAGAAAACAAATTCTTAGTATTTTTCATTTTAGTATGTGATATTTTTATACTTAACGGACAGATTTGATTGAAAAAAAAAAAACTATGTAACGTCGAAAACATTTTTTGTGATAAAATTGGTTTTAGCAACTTTTCTTTACTAATGAGCAAAGAAATTGCATTGCATTAATGAGAAAAGAAATCGCTCAACTCTTAAAGATATACGCTGAGACAGAGCGAGAACTGGAAGTCGAGTACTTCGTTACGCGGTGAGAGCAACGTCGGCAAACGAAATTTCTCTTTACGGTCAATAGAAACTGTGATGCGGGATAATACAGGTTTCTTTGTACATCTTCTGCCATCAACTGTACGTCGCGAATTCATAAGAAAAAGAGTAGCGAGAACTTGTTTAAAGGTCGGTGTCATTTGCGCTTCCGCGCGATGGAATAAACGACGCGTCGTTTCGGTCTTCTTTATACAGAAAATGTACAAAAGCGGCCATTTCTTACTTATATCTCGAAAAGACTTGAATGCTTTCTATTCTTTGATATTTTATTAAAGCGAAGTCGGCGGAATATTTTTGTGCATAGCACGATGAAAACAAGTAGAACGGTTCACGTTATAATACATTTAACCGATTCAATTTGCCATGCTTTTTCGTTGATGTGAAGAATGAATTGAATAAGATGATATTGCGCTTAAAATACATAAATATTGCGATGTAGTATTTTATCAAATTTACCAATGCACAATTATATATCATATCGAAGTTTATCGAAAATATTAAAGTTTGCTTCTTGTGAAAGATATATGAGTATTTTATATCGATAAATTATGTATTTTCTTAATAATTTTATGAGTGCATGTGTTGCGAGCACCAACTTTTACATTACGACTTGCAAGATATATTTTCGGAATCAGAATTAATAAAATATGTATGATTTTATAAGTCATTTATGCACTTGCGGTTTACAGTTCGCCGTACAATTTCACCCGGTTCGGATGGATATCGGAAACGGATAACCATGATTCGAGTCTGTCGAGTTAGTACATGTATCGATAAAGGGAATGGTAAAACGTTGCCGAATAATACGAGAAAGGAAATCTCGGGAATGTCGATATCATCCTTAAATCGTCTCCATACGTCTCCACTTTGGCGCTATTATCGAAATCATTCCTACTGGATATTTTTTCCGCGAAATCTGCTGAGTAGCTCGTGGGAACCTTTCGATCGTGAGAAATTGGGAAGAACGTTGCTATCGGAGCCTCGAGCAGGAGGAGGGAAAAAATAAAGGATAAAGACGAAGCTCCAGACAAGCGTGGCAAAGCGCGGAATCTCTCCATCAAAAGCTCAACAAAAGCTTGCTCACGGAGCTTGGGCACGGTAGAAGGCTGGCATGAGGGAAAGAGCGAGCCGTGGAAGAGGGAGCGTGCCGGGGAAATGCTAGCTAATGTCTGAGACGCGTCAGCGAATGAGAGAGGATAGGGAAACCTGGGCATATACAAGAAAGTCGGGAAAAAGACGGCCTGGTAAAACACATAAAAGAAAGGAGGGTCCGTTGCAAAACACTCGTGTTGCCAATTCTTGCGTTAAGAATGTAATTTCGGGAGTACATGTGAGAAAACTCGGTCGCTTAATCAAATCTTAAGCTCGAAAATTAAACAATTCTCGCTTATTATCAAATATACAATATTTAAACCTGCATGAGAAGTGTAGAAATCTCTTGGAAATTTATTAAACTCATTAAAAATAATGGCGAACAATCGCTTAGGTCGATCAAAATACGGTATAAAAGTTAGGTGAAAATATGATGAAAGACGTGCATCTTGTTCAGGCCAAATAAATTTTTCCGAGCTGGAGAAGTAGTTTTGCCGAACGGGGCTCATTAAGCTGGCGGTTTAATAAAGCCTGTTCGTTAGCGGTTTCGCGATCGCTCATAAGACGATCTTGCGGCCGGTAGCTTTCGGTGGAACTTGCAACGGACGCGGCGCAGAAGCTGCGAGCTTGGGAAAATAGTTCGGAAGCTCTTTAATGACCCCTTCATTTTCGGACCGGCGAGATCGATCGGAAAACTATTAGCGAGTCCAAGTCGAAAGATGGAGGAAGTAAATGCCCTTCGAGTTGCTTTCGCTGAGGTTCGCTATTGCCGATCTTCTCTGTTGAGATGATTCCGCGCATGTGAATCATTTTTCGTGCGAAAAAGGAGAGACTGCTCGCATAAAAGCGAAAAGGAAATAATTTTAATTTATATTTTTCAAATTTGCTTTCAAAAAATATAAATTTATATAATAATATTTTAACGAACTCAATAAACAGACAAGAAGCAATGCTATATCGATTGTCGCGCTTTTATTATTACGATCAAAATGAATGTATATTGCAACGAAATCTGAACTCGCTGGAATTATACCAATCTCAGTCCCCCATCATGTTGTTGCCAATCTCACGGAGGAAATAGAGGTATCGAAAAGCCGCTTCTACTTGTGATGGGGAAGAAAGAAGAGCGTTCGAACGACAAGCTGGAAGACGAAGGCCCGAGGCCAGCATATTTTTCAGGGGAATGAAAAAACATTGCGTCCTCTCTTCGGAAAGCGATAGATGGATCAACGTAGCGATCCTGAGCTCTCGAGCACTTTGCCCTTTTTATTATTCATGAAAATCGTGTTGCCGTTGCTTTCTCACGCGGTTTATTCACCGCGTCCAGTATACAGAGAAAGAAAGACTGCTCTCTTGTCCATATCGAAAAGATGCTTTTCGATATGGACAAATGTCATGTGTATCCGATGTGCGTCATTGTGGCGGCTTAAGTGATTGCGACATTTTTTACGGAGTTTCAAGGTTTAAAAAAAGAACGACATCGATAAGATTCGATTAGCTATGGATTTCGCAATAAAATTTGAGTAAATATTTTGTATTCGATAACTCGCGGAGATTGTTCAAAACGGCCGATTGCTGGGAGTTTCAATATAAAATACAATTAAACTTTTATTTTGTTCTTCTGATTTTTCCTTTTCTTTTTCATGTCTTGTCTCTTTTGCACTATTCCTATTTCACGTTTATCAAATCACATGACAATGTTAGAGTAAAAAAAGAGTGAAATAAAAAAGATACATGCAATAAATTTTGATATTAAGCGATTGATAGCATAAATTCTATCTGATAATGAATCAGTAGCATTGCATGGTATCTCGCAAGAAGAGAAACAAAAAAAATGGAAAATTGGAAAAAAGATACAAGAAGTTTGATTGTAATTGCAATTGTTAATTGTAAATATTAGTATAATTATGTACATAATTAAATAATTGTACTTATTAATTAGGACATTTCAGTTCCACTCGCTGCAGATTCCGCCTTTTGTTAAATTTTTCCACATCAGCTTCATTGAATAATAAATGAATATCGGAAACCCGGACTTAGTTAATCGCACGTAACGTCGATGTTCAATTTCATATCAATATATTTGATGCTGCATATGCCGTCATTACAGTTTCTATTACGCATCGGTTCGGAACGCAGAGCATGAACGCTCTCCGCGATTAATCGCGCATTTTACCCGTTAAAAGTACATAACAGATGCAAATTTTTGTAGAGAGTCCTGTTAAAATAACAGCCGGAACGTATTATTTTGTTCGCGATTAATGACATTTTGTCGATTGTTTAGCGTTGTTTACACGAAGAAAGAATGAAACTAGTTACAGTCTCAGTGAGTATGGGACTTGATGGCACAACGAAAATAATCCCTTCGCTCAAGAGAATCAAAACGTGGTATTTTTCATTTGACGTAACATGTTGAAAATTTAGTTCGTGAAAAGCATATCGGGCAAAACATCGCTGTGTTTTCGCACATGTGTGACTGTATTGTGCGCGCTCGTAATTGACGACCTTTTCGTGACCGTCAAGGTATGTCGCTCATCTCATTCGTCCGGAATACACGTACAATATCGGATAGTCCGTCGAATGAGTAGGATCTATCGGTACGTGTACGGCTGTGGCGCAAAATATTTTATTACGCATTTTGTGTATCGCGGTGTAGCAAACAGTATTCGCAATGTAAATCCGGTTTTTGCGTAAATGCGATTCGCGAATTGAGCGTTGTTCAGTAGTGCGCGTAATTAGGCGTTTATTTTCGATATTTATTGATTCTTCAATAAAACAGAGGCGGATTCTGCAGCAAGTAGAGCACACTCCAATATCCTAGGTGGTAATTATTTATTTATTTGCTAAATTACTTGTTCAATATTTGATATGTACATAATTTTGATAATATATCTATATGTATAATTACAATTATGTACTCATTAAATATTTATTAAGATATTTGAAAATATTTATTATAATATTTATTAAAATATTTATAGATTATCTATTGGACATAATATTTCTGAATTTAACGTTTTAAATTATTATTTACACAAATTGGAAATAATTAAATTATACATAATAATCATCACATCTCAAATGTATGATATATTTTATAATGATTAAATATATATTAATTGTTCTAGGTACAGCTAAAGGCGTACTTCGCTAGGATACAACGATCGGTGAGTGAATTGATTCATTAATTCGCATAATTATGTAAACTGCTCATATCATCTGTTGTTCATTTATCAATATTTATTATATAATTGTTAAAAAACGTAGTTTGACAATTATATCCTCGTTTTTATAAATAAATAATAAAAAATATATATGATTTTATACAGATTACATATATATACGATTTATCACTTTTAAATCATAAAAGTAAAATTTTGAAAATATTTAAGTTATATAATATATTTCTACATATATATGTGTGTAAAGAAGAAAACTTTATGAAAATGTAGATTATAAAAAATTGAATTTAGAGATAAAAATCCTAAAAATATATGTAAACTTTTAGAATACGGTTCGATATTATTTCAATTTTGAATATATGTTTCTGTTAATAATAATAAATTTCCTTACTAATAAGTTTAATCGTTCAACGTTTTTGCAAAAGAGGAAATTGTCAAAGTACGGTTTTCGATGTGCAATTCGCTTTTGCTTCGCAAAAGCACTGATACAATTGATACAATTGCTTACACAGCAATGATACAATTGATTCTTTTTTTTGCGGCGTACATTTCATCAAAGTATCGTAAAAGGTAAGGTAAGATTACAAGGTAAGATTTAATAAATAATAAATCTTTTTAAATATGACACGCTTTGCAAAATGAACTCTTTTGCATAGTCAGTAAAAAATATCGATATGCATTATGTCTTTTCTTCCAATTCCATTTTTTCTTGTAGCTCTTTATTATTTGAACTATCTCTAGCTATATCGTTGAATTTGTAACTGAATTGCGGCACATAGTGCGTTTTATCTTGCGTTTTCATTTCGTGCACTGCGGCATGACAAATTCGTGAATCCGTGATTTTCACAAGTAAAATGCGCGCGTTGACTTTTGTTGTTTTTTCTATTGGAGACAAATTTCGTTTCATGTTTTTCTTTTTTTGACGGAATTCATACTATGCCAATGTCCAAGAGTATTCACGGAAAAATAAATGAAGTCGTCCGTTATAATTTTATAATGCGACAAAGAGTTAGAGAGAGACGGGATGCAGGGGGGCGGGCTGTTGCCTGTATCTGTCGTTCGAGCATCCGTATTCCCGGGGGTTGGCAATTTCGCCGCCCCACGATTCGATACAATCCCGACTATTTCGTGAAGGCGCGTATCCTTAACGAGCCGGTAAAAGGAGCTCGAGGGCACGACCTGTTCTGAAAGGGAAAAATAGAGAAGAATGCAAAGGGGAAAGCACGAGAAGAAAACGCGATGTAAGAGATGAAAAGGGGTAAAACGGGATAGTAGGAGGAGAAAGGCACAACCGACATATAAGTCGTTAGCTCACGGGCAACCAATCGTGACGAGTGAGGGGGCAGAGAGGGGGATAGCTCACCATGAGAGAAGGCGAACAAGTGGCATCTAGTCAGGGAATGCTTGTGATGGTGCTTGTAGGTCGGTTACGAGGGGAAAACTGTTGTTTATTTGTACTTTCTGCGTTCGGACATTCGTCCTCCAACATAGATATTTCGCCGGATCCAGCCGACCTTGTCTCTCCTCTTTTTGTCCTCTCGAATCTTCGAGAGTTCGCCTATAGTTCTTCTTCCCTCGCACATCGTTCGCACGTTCAGAATACGAGGGGAGGATGCTTTTCCGCGCGTCGGATTGGGTTTTGTTCGAACTGACATATTTTTCGAAAGCTTTTGTGTGGACCGCAAAAAACGGCGAGAGCGGGCATCGAGAGGCGAAGAGCGGGAAAAAAAGATGGACAAAAAAAGGGGCAGCGCAGCCGGAGAACCGTGAAAAGAGCGACACGCGCCCTCGGACGCGATGGATGCGGACTGCAGTTAGTCGAATTATTTGTTTTTTCGGTAAGAACGATGGCAACGGCGATACGAGGGAGAGGTGGAGTGGTTAATTTTTCAACGAAACTGCCGTTTTCTTTCTTTTTTCTTCCCCTCTTGCTCATTCACCCTGCCGGCCGTGTCCCTCGAACGAATAATTCCGCGGTACGAGTTGGGAATTTATAATTATACTGGCGCTGTAATTGGATTTCCTCCTTTTTTTCTTCTTCTTTTTCTCCCTCCTTCTCTCTTTCTCTCGCCATCCTTTTTCGGAAACATCGCGCAGTTCCGCGTTTCTCTTTATATCGGAAAGCCGATTAATAAGAGCCCAGCTCAGCCGACGGAAAAGTTCCCAATTATTCATCGCGATCGTCTGAGCGTGTTCGGCCGATGTCCGGCGAGAGGTAAAAGCGAATCGCCCTCTCGATATTGCTTTAACAGGCGTAACGATCGTTACGCCGCGGCTCGCGCGAAATAGCCGATCCTTTTAAAGTGATTGGCGGAACCGGTGGCGATGGTGTGGCGGTCGCGCGGGTGCCGCCGACCGCGCTCTTTTAATTCGCTTTTTGCAGTTCCCTTTCGCCGCCCCGCTCATACCTGGAGATTACCACTTAATGCCGCCGCTCGGCCCCGACAGTTCCGTAAAACAGCCCGCTGCTGTTCGTTCGCTCGCCGCGGTCAGACGTCGAGATTGGAAAACGTTAGCGCACGAAGCGGATTTAACAGAATTTCCAAATTTATTACAGCCGCCGGGAGTATAATGGATTCAAAGAGTCGCCCGCAAACGAGGTGAGTTATAACCTCCGACCTCGTAAAAATCTATCGCAGCATGCCGCAGGCGGAATTATCGCGGAAAGGTCCTTTTACTTCTCTCTTTTTCTCTTTCAATTCTTCATCTTCCTTGCGCTCGAGTCATTCGACCGAGTATCTGGCGGGCGTTAACGTGACGTTTCCTCGATTTTTGACGAAAATGTATGCCAGAATACGTTTCAATACCGTTTTTCCACGATTGCTGAAATTAAATAGCCATTACGCGAGTATTTGCGAAAAAAAGATATCAGAAGCTTAATATATTCGCGTTTTCATTGCGGTTTTGATAGAGCGAGCGGCGCCTCTTCAGGGCGATTTTTTCCACGCGTTTTCACTACGCGGGCCGATCGTGCTTGGAGATTACTACTTAATACCATCGGCTGAGTGGTGGCGCAGTGGAACAACCCCGCACGGGTCAGACGCACGGCGTTGGTTGGAAACCGTTAGCGCGCGGGTTACCAGTTTAATGGACTTTAATATCGATCGCGGTTCGATGTTGAAATTGTGCCACGAACGAATTTTAGATTGCGCGCCCTGGAAAGCGGAGGAACGGAGAGATAGAGAGAGAGAGAGAGAAAGAGAGCGAGACGGCTTTGGGTATTATATCGGTTCCAATAGCGGCCGCCCATAAGCGGTGTTTACTACTCGACATAACAGATAACGTCGTGTTTTAAAGTTAAACTTTTTAAGCATGACTATGAACGTTAGCGGATTAGTATCAGGGCAACCGAAAAGTAATTTGCCTTCTAAATCAAATTCGCCTCTCTTATTGGCCGTGTATATATTTCGAACGTAAGCAACAAACAATCCGATATAATAATACTAATAATAACTATTATTATTGAATTATTAATATTATTACTATTTCAATTATCTATATTAATTGGATGAATTAGATATCTAAAAATTTTAGTAATTTATGGAGTTAATTAAATCGATTACGTGAGAGTTCTTTTTTTATCCCGTGGAGTTATTTAACTCTTTATATACTTTTTCCGCGAAAATCATGCATAGCTTATTTAAATATAGAATAAACTAATTATTATACAAATACAAAAACATGAGAGAAAAAAGATGTAGAGTGTGGTAAAACGTGCGAGCGACGTTTATTAAAACTGCTTACTGCAAATTGAATTCCAGATGTTCATTTACGCAGTAAACATAAGCTCGTCACGATATGTATGTCATATATGTTTTCACTGAAACACCGCGATGGTGACTTCTGTAAATACCTTCTTTTAATGAAAAGCACGATTCACATCGAGTTCACTACGTTCGATTGAAACTAGATTTACAGACGGATTATCGGCAATCGCCTGCTGTTGCAGCACGGTAAAGCGACGCAAGAATCACTTTTTGCGAACCGGAAAGTTAAGCTGAAAGGAAATATTCGAGCCGCGATAAAGCTGCCATCCGGTAGCCTAAGCAGCGTGACCTACGAAAACGACTTTCGGATGCTGTAAAAAATGCGCTATCGCTTCTGTAGCGCTATTACGGGATACAAGGTGATGCAGCGAGATGACAAATGACAATCGCAATATTCGGGCGAAAATGTTAATTCCTTCCGAACACGCGCCGCTTCACGTTCGGTTCGTAATAGCGCCGCCGGTGATAACTCTCGCGAGTGAGAAAACGCCGAATGGTAAATCGACTGTCGTAAATTCAACGAGCCTCCGGGAAACAGACGCTCCTTACGGTTTACTGCTCCACCAGCGAATCAGCAATTTTGCGGATCGCGTACTGCCTGTTCCGCGTGTTTGCGTCATTAGTCTAAAAGCGTCGCCGAGATCTGGGACTTGCCGCGCGGCTGACGCGCCGACGTAGTAAGACATTACAACCAGCCAGCCATCCAGCATCCCTATTCGGTATAATTTCCATTCCCCCGCGTCTCCTTTCTCCACCCGGTGCTTGGCGGTACCCCTCATTCCCGGAAACGGTTTTCATCGCGAGGGGGTGCGCCCATTCCTCCCTATCTCAGTTTCACCACTATCTTCGCTATCGTCATCGTCGTCGTCGTTGTCGTCGTTGTCGTCGTCTGTATTCTCCCCCCCCCCTCCTTCTACCTACGTACACCGCATCCCGTCCCCCTCCTGATAATTAATTTTACGTATCCAGTTTACAAGCGGGCGAAGTGGCGCGTAATCAGATTTCGTACCCAAGATTGGTAGAGATTGCTCGTGCAAGTCTGTCGACTCTCCGCTTCGTTGAGGAATGACGCGCACGCCTCAACGGCTCGCCGCAAAGGCACGGAGCACATCCGATGGTCTCGGAGGTGATAATATCCAGCGGAATAGAAATCCCGGCCTCGTCCGCCGCGAAAATCAGTGTTTGTTCGCGCCGTGTTTCTCGACTATCTATCTTGGT